TCTGCTAATATGCCTCCCCTATCGCTCACCTCCAAAGCATATGAAATACTTGCTATTTTCCCAGTGTCTCCATCTTTTCTCAAAAAACATGTTTCTTTGAAGTTATCTTCAGTGGTGACTGTTTAATGTTTCTCACACATGGCATCCTGCTTGGTCACCATTATAGTTTACTCTCTATCTTATTAGAACAAAATTCTTTGTTTTTTAAGGCCCATGCAATTTACTTAGACAATTCACTTATTCAACAAAATTTTTAACACTATTTTCTGAGTCAAGAACCACATTAGGCACTAGACATTCTGCAGGAAACAAACAAATCAAGTTTTATCTTCTGTTGGTTTCCATAATAACACTTTCTCTTGTTTCCTATCCCACTCCCCCATTGAAATTTTAAACGATCTGGTTCTAGGCCACCTTTCTCTGCTCAGTTTTAACTCTTGTTTTCTTTACGTCTTGTAACTCAAGTGCCATGTATATGCTGATTACTCCCAAGATAAAAGAGTTAACTAAGAATTAAGTGTACTCAATAAATTTGTGGGCTTCAGCTATGAATTCAGTGCTTTTCCAAAAAACTAATCATTATCACCTCATTTTAATGTTCATATCCCTCTTTTTCGTAAACAGCATCCATAGGTAATTAGTTTTTCCTGGTAAACACCATTCAATATGCTCCCACACACTTCTCCTTGTATACATAAGACTACATTGTAGTTATATCTGCATGATAGAAAACTGACCTGAATGAATACAATTCATTATACTATTATTGTATTTTGATAATCAATGTTATTGTATATACATAAACATTGACTGTTCCTTAGAACAATCAGAAACACTTAATTTAAGTCAATGGTTCCTGGACACTAAAATTATGGTTTGTCTCAACAGATGAAACCACCTTGATAGCCACCATTTTAAATTGATGTAACATTTTACTCATTCAAAAATTGAACAACCTTTTAATTTTTTAGCAAATGTGTGCCTTCAGAAGAAATGTGCCTATCATTTCTTACTGTTTTCAATAAAAATATGTAACTTAAGTGTCTTAGTCATAACATAAACCAGTGCATAAAATGAGTATTTAAATTCTTACTGTGTGCCTAATATTGTATTAAGCACGATCAGGTAATGGTACCAAAAAATAAAAGTAGCATGTTTGTGAGTTCAATCAAATGAAGAGTTTGAATTTACCAATATCATTATTTATTTAAATTGTGAATTATTATTTAAGCTACTGAAAACTATGACACAGGACTAATCATGTGTCAACATTGGAAGTTGGAAATGATATAAATCAAATGTAAATCTCAAATAATCATATAAATAACTGACTTTGTACAAATTCTCATTAGTTTTCTGTCCTTTTTTTTAATTGTACTTTAGGTTCTGGGGTACATGTGCAGATCATGCAGGATTGTTGCATAGGTACACACATGGCAATGTGCTTTGCTGCCCCCATTCTCCCATCACCAATATCGGACATTTCTCCCCATGTTATCCCTCCCCGACCTCCCCACCTGCTGTCCTTCCCTTGGCCCCCTGCAACAGACCCCAGTGTGTGAGGCTCCCCTCCCTGTGTCCATGTGTTCTCATTGTTCAACAACCGCCTATGAGTGCAAACATGTGGTGTTTGATTTTCTGTTCTTGTGTCAGTTTGCTGAGAATGATGGTTTCCAGATTCACCCAAGTCCCTACAAAGGACACGAACTCATCATTTCTTATGGCTGCATAGTATTCCATGGTGTATATGTGCCACATTTTCCCTGTCCAGTCTATCGTTGATGGGCATTTGGGTTGGTTCCAGGTCTTTGCTATTGTAAACAGTGCCACTATGAACATACGTGTGCATGTGTCCTTATAATAGAATGATTTATAATACTTTGGGTATATACCCAGTAATAGGATTGCTGGGTCAAATGGAATTTCTATTTCTAGGCCCTTGAGGAATTGCCACACTGTCTTCCACAATGGTTGAACTAATTAACACTCACAAAAACAGTGTAAAAGTGTTCCTGTTTCTCCACATCCTCTCCAGCATCTGTTGTCTCCAGATTTTTTAACGATCAATATACTAACTGGCCTGAGATGGTATCTCACTGTGGTTTTAATTTGCATTTCTCTAATAATCAGTGATGATGAGCGTTTTTCATATGTTTCTTGGCCTCATATATGTCTTCTTTTGAAAAGTGTCTGTTCATACCCTTCCCCACTTTTGAATGGGTTTGTTTTTTTTTTGTAAATCTGTTTTAGTTCTTTGTAGATTCTGGATATTAGCCCTTTGTCAGATGGGTAGATTGCAAAAATTTTTTCCCATTCCGTTGGTTGCCAATTCACACTAACAATTGTTTCTTTTGCTGTCCCGAAGTTCTGGAGTTTAATTAGGTCTCATTTGTCTATTTTGGCTTTTGTTGCCAATGCTTTTGGTGTTTTAGTCATGAATTCCTTGCCTATGCCTATGTCCTGAATGATTTTGCCTACATTTTCTCCTAGGGGTTTTATGGTGTTAGGTCTTATGTTTCCAGGTTTTATGGTTCCAGGTTTTAGGTTTTATGGTTCCAGATTAAGCCTTTAATCCATCTGGAGTTAATTTTAGTGTAAGGTGTCAAGAAGGGGTCCAGTTTCTGCTTTCTGCACACTGCTAGCCAGTTTTCCCAACACCATTCATTAAACAAGAGGATCCTTTCCTCATTGCTAGTTTTTGTCAGGTTTGTCAAAGATCAGATGGTTGCAGATGTGCGCTGTTGCCTCCAAGTCCTCTGTTCTGTTCCATTAGTCTATATCTCTGATTTGGTGCCAGTACCATGCTGTTTTGATTACTGTAGCTTTGTAGTATAGTTTGAAATCAGGTAGTGTGATGCCTCCAGCTTTGTTCTTTTTGCTTAGGATTCTCTTGGCTATGCAGGCTCTCTTTTGGTTCCATATGAAGTTTAAGTTGTTTTTTTCCAGTTCTGTGAAGAAGGTCATTGGTAGCTTCATGGGGATAGCGTTGAATCTACAAATTACTTTGGGGAGCATGGCCATATTCACAATATTGATTCTTCCTAACCATGAGGATGGAATGTTTCTCCATTTGTTTCTGCCCTCTCATTTCCTTGAGCAGTGGTTTGTATTTCTCCTTGAAGAGGTCCTTTACGTCCTTTGCTAGTTGTATTCCTCGGTATTTTATTCTCTTTGTAGCAATTGTGAATGGGAGTTTAGTTTTGATTTGGCTCTCTGTTAGTCTGTTATTGGTATATAGAAATGCTTGTGATTTCTGGGTATTGATTTTGTATCCTGAGACTTTGCTGAAGTTGCTTATCAGTTTAAGGACAGTTTTGGCTGAGATGACAGGGTCTTCTAAATATACAATCATGTCATCTGCAAATAGAAACATATGACTTCCTCTTTTTCTAATTGAATAACCTTTATTTTTTTTTCTTCCCTAATTGCTCTAGCTAGTAGTTCCAACACTATGTTGAATAGGAGTGGTGACAGAGGGTATCCTTGTCTAGTGCCGGATTTCAAAGGGAATGATTCCAGTTTTTGTCTATTCAGTATGATATTTGTTGTAGGCTTGTCATTAATAACTTTTATTATTTTGAGATATATTCCTTTGATACCCAGTATGTTGAGAGCTTTTAGCATAAAGTGCTGTTGAATTTTGGCAAAGGTCTTCTCTGCATCTATTGAGATAATCATGTGGTTTTTGTCTTTGGTTTTGTTTATGTGGTGGATTACATTTATAGACTTGTGTATGTTGAACCAGCCTTGCATCCCAGTAATGTAGCGTACTTCCCGGTGATGGATAAGCTTGACGATGTGCTGTTGCAATCAGTTTGCCAGTATTTTATTGAAGATTTTTGCATCTATGTTCATCATGGATATTGGCTTGAAGTTTTCTTTTTTCGTTGAGTCTCTGCTGGGTTTTGGTATCAGGATGATGCTGGTCTAATAAAATGATTTGGGAAAAATTCCTTCTTTTTGGATTGTTTGGAATAGTTCAGAAGGAATGATGCCAGCTCCTCTTTATATATCTGGTAGAATTCAGCTGTGAACCTGTCTGGACCTGGACTTTTTTTGATTGGTAGGCTATTAATTGCTGCCTCAACTTCAGCCCTTGTTATTGGTCTATTCAAGGTTTCAACTTCTTCCTGGTTTAGGCTTGGGAGGGTGCAAGTGTCCAGGAATTTATCCATTTCTTCCAGGTTGACTGGTTTATGTGCATAGAGTTATTTGTAGTAGTCTCTGATTGTAATTTGTATTTCTGTGGACTCAGTGATGGTATCCCCTTTATCATTTTTTATTCCATCTATTTGATTCTTCCCCCTTTCTTTTTTATTTATCTGGCTAGCAGTCTGTCTATTTTGTTGATCTTTTCAAAAAACCAGCTCCTGGACTTATTAATTTTTTGAAGGATTTTTTGTGTCTCTATCTCCTTCAGTTGTACTCTCATCTTAGTTATTTCTTGTCTTCTGGTAGCTTTTGAGTTTTTTTTTTGTTTTGTTTTTGTTTTT